AATAGGGTTGACTCTTACCTCATCATTATCATCAACTTTTACTTTCTGATTCCCAGATTGATTTTGTTCTTGATAATGATAGAACTAATGATTCAATGCAAACAACTAATTAGGCAGCTTTGTCTGGTTGCTCAATAAATGATAATTTCATCTATTTTCTTGATTCCCTGAAAATTTCAAAACTTCACTTGAAGATAAACTCTAACTGAATCATATTGGAATCGTTTTCATCGGCCATTTTATTCTGTTATTTACGTGAGGAACAATTCAAGTAGAATGTTTATTTGAAAAGTTGAATAAAAGGGAAAAGTAAATATTTTTTTATCTTTTGCTCAGAATTTTGTCTTGTAAAGAGATTAATGAAGACTAATTGAGAGCAGCAATATGAGCATCTGGAATTTGTAGATTTTATCATTTGATAATTGTTACATGAAATGGTTAGATATCAAGTTTCGTTGAAATTGAGATGAAATTGTTTCAACGAAATTTGCCATTTCTTTATCATTTGCGTGACTTGAATCAAGTTTACATCTATTGTTGTTGCATTTGTCTTACACTTTGATGAGATAAATCTTCAAGTTTCCGTTGAGCTGCTATTGGAAATGACAATTTAAATCCGACAACTTTTTTACCTCTCACGTCTATCCATTGCATTTAAATTGGCATTTCTGAAAGATTTTTGTTTCTCTTTGCTCTGTTAATGCCAAGATATACAAATAAGAAAATATACTTTTGACAGTTCAATTGATCCAAGTGATTAACCTGATGATATTGACATTTGAAACAAAAGTGGGTCTGTGAAAATAGTATAATCAATTGATTAATTTTGTCGTAAAATGCTTTGAATCTAATAAATGTCACTAAAAGATTACAATTGACTTGGAGTTTAATCAAGTTTGTTTGCTTTGAGAAAATTGTTCAATATTTCAAGTTTTACTCGATGAATGAATTTATGAGTTGATTTGATCCTGATAAACATTTACACTTTTGCCTGGAAAATTTGTTCAACTTTGATTCAAGTTTACAAAGAATCGAGTTATTTTGCATTATTATTGTGACAATTGGTTCAACTCGAATTTGTTATTGATCAAAATCTTGGATCAACTTTGAGTAGAGTTGATTACAATCTATTAAATCATCCCAAATGTAAATAGTATTGAAAATGTTGCCTCGAAGTAAAGGTAGAAGCTAAATAAAGCCAATAAGTTCGACTCTTTTGTAAGTTGAGCAACTTTACATGATAATAGCCAACTTTAACTGTCCAATTGCAAACCATTTTTAAATTGAAAATAATCAAACTTTACCTTTCAGTTTAAAATTGGTTGGCCAGAATCATTCAAAGTGAAATAATTGAACCAATCGACTTGATTGAGAAATTGATTAAAATTTGAAAGCTTGAGTCAGAAATTGAAAGCCTCATATTCATTGATTTTTGATGCACTTGAGGCTTCAATTTTTGATGTAAAAATACGCTTGAAATCAGCTTGAAAGATCTTTTGGTTACTCTTCAATCAGGTCTCTTAGCCTCAAATGTTTTGATTCAACGATCAGTGGACAAGTCACTCGATGGCAAATCGACTGAGTCTTCTGATAGTCTGAGTCGAGATTTAACTGAATGACTGCATTCACTAGCTTCGGTGTGCTAGCAATAACTACTTCTTCCAAGGTAAGAAAGAAATTGCATTCCATGATCTTATTTCGAAATTTTTAAGCACTTTTTTTTGGATTCGCAAGTTTACCTTTTCTATGACTAAAGTTGATGTTGCTGTTGATAAACATTTTGATAAAATAATGCAAAACTTTGAGAGTGAGATTGTAAATTCATGTTTGTTGTTTCTTTAAGGTGACTTGGCTTACGATATGAAATTGCATAATGTATGAAATTGAATTTTAAACATAATAACATTGCATCTAATGGTTGAATGAAACCATGAAGCCAGAAATACTCTTAACGGAACCATTTAAAAAAGTGCATTTCCAATGTTGACTTAAATTTGTAGGAGCGAAACAAAATTACATTTTGCTTTTTGAAAAGCAGAAAAGAAATAAATTTTTGGTCCAATTTTACTTTCAACAAAAAAGCATCTTTTCAATCCATTTCAAGCCATGATTGAACAACAAAGAAAAGTGTTGTAAAATTTTAAACAAACACCATTTGTATCTCATTCAGTGTCATTAAAAGTTTCATCATTACAGTTTGTTTGATTCGCACTTCAACACATTTAGCCAATTGCATGTGCCAAGTACATCATGAAAACTTTCAATTCAACCATTCTCAACATGCAAGGTTAACAAATTGAAGCCAATTGTAAACTCATTTGCCATCCAGAAAATGATTAACATTAGGCAAAAAAATCTTTTGTTTAAATGTTGACCCATTCAAAGGTTTTACATGAAACTGGTCAAACGGCAGATGAAAATGATAAATTGAATTTCAACAAATCGACCATCAAAAACAAAGCCCAATTGAAACTACATTTTGGTCCAATTTTCACTTGTCATGTTGAAGATTATACATTGAACAAGATGAATTGCCTCTTGACAATTATCATTATTACATTTCATTATGTATGAATTGTTAATCTGTGTCTGCCTGTAATTCACAATTAAAATGAAACAAGGATGAATAATTTGTAATCTCAATTGCGAGGGAAAACAAGAAAAGATTGCTCTTTCAGCTTGATAACATGTTGAACCCTTTTATTACACTATTCCCATTGTCTCCTCGTCTAGAAATAGTTTCATTTTTCCCCTGTTCTTCTGTTCAGCCATTCATTTTCAATGAAAGCAAAAGTATATTAAACAGCAACAGCAAGGCAACAAAAAAAGCTTCTAATTCAGAAGAGCAAAGGAAAAAGAAGAAGTAAAAAGTGAAAAAATCGAGAAAAAGCCACTTTACTCAACTCTACTTCATTTTGACAAAGAAAATTATCATTTTTAAGTTCATTTTTTCATCTCATGAAATGTGCTCTCATGAGCATTTCTAAGACTTTCATCCAAATTGAAATACAGATTAAAAAATTGATGAAAATGAGGAGGAAAAAAAGTGGTGAAAATTTTGCCAGAAAAAAAAGCATTTTATCATTTTCCTTTTGAGCATAATTTTGGGTCCAATTTTCGTAATGATTATCGTAACGTTTTTCACTCTCATTTTGAACAGTTCATGACAGTTAAAGTATCTTGTTAATTGACTCGACAATCTGTTAATGACATGATTCTTGAAATTGTTAAATTTACTTTTGATTACCAACTGATTGTGTGTGTGTGCAAATGTTGACTGGAAAATTTGGCAATTTCTTTATGCAAATGGAACAACAATTGACATTGATTTTTACCCTTTTATAACTTATCAAGCTTATTACTTGCTATTCGAGTTTGCCATTTCTCTCAATAATTCACTTGATAATAAAATAAATCATAAACCAATGTTGATGTGTACATTTTTATATAATATTGTTTGGATATTTACCATTCCATGGATTGTTCATTCATTCACAATGAACTTTTCTTTCTCTTGTTCTTCTTCTTCTTTTGCTTCTCTTTTTCACCAACTTTTCCCTCATCGTTCCAAATACGTTTTTATTGGCTTCAATATAACTCTGTATTGAACCTCTTTTGTCCTTTCCCTTACTTTTTGCTCTTCTCTTCAACTGCAACCTTTGCCGTCATCTTCTTTCATCTCATCATCTTTTTCAGTCTTCTTTCCATCTTCATCCCATTATCATTCTGTCAAGTTTAGCCACTGTTATTTGGTAACAATTTGCTTCTTTTCCACTTTCTTTCTTTTCTTTCCTTCTTTTTATTTTGTTCATGGATCTTTGCTCAATTCCCTTGGATAATTTTGGAAACTATCAGAAACAGAGAAATACCAAAAGGCTTCTTCTAGTCTAAATGAGGAAAAGGTTGAAATTATTTTTATCCATTATTATTGTCCGTTGTTATTCATTCCCATGTTAATAAAGTTGTTACATTATTTACTCTGTTTTATTAAAATTCATGATAACTGCTTTCAACATCCAAACAATAACAACCAAATCCATCATTATCATTTGATCCTGAAATGAATGAAAAATAAATATTATAAAACCCTTTACATTATAAAACAATCTCTGGTAGCCTAGTGGTTAGTATCCTTGCATAACAAGATTTAGGCTCCGGGTTCGCGTCTCGATATTGATCAATTTGTTGAGACTATTTCTTTACGTTTGATGTGAGGTCATTGGTATGAATCATGCAATTCAGTTAGGTAAATTACTTTCCAAACTTCTTGAGATTCCATGATTTATAAAAAAACTTCCTTGAAACTCATTCGTTGCTCAAATGTAAATTGAACCGATTACTGTTATTACAACCAATATGAAAGGTCAACAATTACAATAAACAAGATTGCTATATTGGATTATTTCATGAACCAAAGGTTCTTAAGAGATTTGAAAAGATTGCCCAATATCCAGCCTACATGATATTGACAATGAAGAAGCTTGTACTTTAAAAACTCATCAACACCTCGAACAATTTCCTGGCACATTCTTTCAATTAACTCATCCCTTCATTCATTTATTCAGATGATGAACACCACTAATAATGCTGAATATTCTGACAAGCAACAAGAAAATGTAAATTTTTTCCCATTAAATTTTCCTTCAAACTATAGATTCATTTTAGACAATATTTACAAACAAAATAATTCATCAAGATAAATACATTTACATTAAACAAAACCAGTTTGACAAGCAAAATGCTAAGTCAATTTCAGGATAAACATTTATCCTCTAAATTATCTTGTCATGTTTAATTTTCATTTTTAAATTTTAATTAATTCCATTCATTGGGCAAACAACATTAATATACATTAATAATAACATTATTCAAAATCATATCCAGTTGCAATAGATTTCAATGGATTTCATTTACTCTGGGAGTGCAAAATATTGAGATTTGTTTTGACATGAAAATTGAATTTAAAATGAAATTTTAATCTCTTGTTTCTCTTGTTTCAGGTGTAAAAATGAAAAATATCATGAAAATTTACCTCAAACTAGTGTGATAATTTGCTTCCACAATGAAGCTTGGTCCGTCTTATTGCGAACAGTTCACTCTGTGCTCGATAGATCACCTGAAAATTTGATTAAAGAAATCATTTTGGTCGATGATTTTTCAAACAGAGGTAATTATCAGTTCAACTCTCACCCTTGATTAGTTAATATCAAATGATTCCCTTGAGTAGTTTTCCCATGTAAATGTTGATGCAATTTGTGTCAATGTTTCCATTGATAATCATCTTTTATTGCATTTTGCAGTCTAATAATGATAGTCATTAATAATAACGATGATGACAGTGTTCAGCCCAAGGTGGTCTAATCAATGAATTAATTTTCTTTCCTCTTTTTCTCAATAATTGTTATTGCAAATGTAATGATGAACCCAAACTTGTCCCATTAAGAAAGTGATAGACAATTTGAAAGTTTTGACAAGAAAATGCAATTAACAAGAAAAGTTTACTTGGTTAACTTTCCATTCCAAGATAATCAGTTATAATAGTATTAATAAATTTCACTCCCAGCTTGTTCAAGTGAAAATGTCTCAAGCTCAATTAGCAAGCTTTTTAATAGTAATCAAGTTGAGATTGAGTAGAAAAGGTAAACTTATGAGTAAATTTGCTTATTAGTTGTTGTTTTTGTTGGCAAGATTTTTGCTTAATTGAAAACTTAATTAACCAAAGGCTAATTAATTATCTTCCATGTTTGTCTTTTTCTTTCCTTTTCTTTTGCTTACTTTCCAATTGTGTGTTCAACTTGGGTAAACACAACATTGAAATTGCTTTTTGCTTTTCCATTCTTTTCCTTGGTTGGTCTTATTGCTGTTGATGAAAATTATTGTCTTTATTGTGATAATGTTTACTGCAATATGTTGTCATGATTGAAATTGATGATCTTTTTGGCGCTCTCGATCAATTATGGAATCAGAGGATCTTATGAAACCCTTGGAAGAGTATGTTAAACCTTTAGGTAAAGTAAAGATTATCCGAGCCAAGAAGCGTGAAGGCTTGATTCGAGCTCGACTATTAGGTGCCAATGAAGCAACTGCTCCCGTCCTGACCTACCTCGACTCACACTGTGAGTGCACAGAGGGTTGGTTACAGCCTTTACTTGACAGAATTGCTCGTGATCCAAACACTGTAGTTTGTCCAGTTATCGATGTTATCAATGATAAAACATTTGAATATCACTATCGAGGTGATGCAAACTCCATCAATGTCGGTGGTTTCGACTGGAATCTCCAATTCAACTGGCATGCTATTCCTGATCGGGAAAAGAAACGACGAGTTCATTCCACCGATCCAGTCAGGTGAGCAAACATTTTACAATTTGATTCAAACTCTCGACAAACTCCAACTGCAACTCCCAGGAGAAGTCGCCGAAATTCATTCACAGAATATCGACAAAAATGTGAAAAAATTTACAAGTCAACTTGCAACAAATTTTTTCGCAATGTTGATGTTCTCAAGAATTTTTGGGAATTTTCGACAAAAATCTTTAGCTTCTGAATTCTTGACTTTCTGTCCATCAGTTGACCAAATGTAGTTGACAGGCAAAACTCCCAATCGTGAGCCAATCAATTGTTGAATCTTTTTTGTTCCAATTGAACCTTCCTATTGTGACCTTGTCGATTGTTCAATCAAGGATTGAAATTATTTCCATGTTAATAAATTGTCGATTGTTTGTGACATGAAGGTGCTTGAATAACCTTTTCCCATTGAATTTTATCCATCAACTGTCACCATTCAGTCAAAAATGAACAAGAATATTGAAGTTGAAAATATCAATATAATAAATAAACAAAAAGATAAAAAAGTTGTATCAATCATTTTCACTCCATTGACTATCACATTACAAATGATTGTAAATACAAATTTAACTTTTACCTTGAACCAAATAAATTAGTCGAGTTAACAAGTCAACACTTTTAAAGGTCATTTCAGTAAAAGTTGTAAAAGTGTTGAAACTAAAAGTAATTTGAATGTGAACCAATCAATCATCTAATTGATTCTTGTTCATCTTTCGACCAACTTCAGGTCACCAACCATGGCTGGTGGACTGTTTTCCATTAGTAAAGATTTCTTCGAACGTCTTGGAACTTATGATAGTGGATTTGACATCTGGGGCGGAGAAAACTTGGAACTCTCTTTCAAGGTGAGAATAAATGACATTTTTCTTTGTTCACTTTATCACAATCCAGAATTTCAATTATCATCATGATGATAACAATGAGAAGAAAACATGAAACCAAAAGATGGAGCAATTGTTGGATGAACAGAAAAAGTAGAGAAAAAAAGATTATAAATAAACATGAACAATCTAATCTTTGGTGAGACTGAAATTTCATTCCAAATTGATTCACTTGGAACTGTAAATGTCATCAGGATTATCAAGATAAAACATGATCTACTTTTAGTATGACAACAACAACTTTTTTTATCATTTCTTTTCTTGTGTAAACTCTTTTTTATCTCTTTTCATTCAGCATTACTTGATGATTCTTCATGATTATCCTTTTGATTCTTTGATAACCTTGCCATTATTTTTCATTTTTTATCTTCTTTTCATTCCATTTTGGTTGGCTTCTTCAATCATGATCATGAATAGACTTGGATGTGTGGTGGAGTCTTGGAGATAATCCCTTGTTCCCATGTTGGTCACATATTTCGAAGTCGAAGTCCATATAAATGGAAAACTGGTGTCAACGTTCTTGTTCGCAATTCAATTCGTTTGGCTGAAGTTTGGATGGATGATTATAAGAAGTATTATTACCAAAGGATTGGAAACAATCTGGCAAGTTTCACTTTTGTTCACCTTCATTCGCATCAACTTTCAATTTTTGTTTACAATTCAAAGCACCATTTCACTTGTTAAACTTCATTCTTGATAGGAAAATGAAGATTCCAATTCAATTCTCAACTTTTGCCGTTTACTTGCTAAAGCAACCTTCATATAACTGAGTTTCCATATCAGAAAATGAAACACAAATCTATTTCTCCCTGGTTGATAGTTTAAACCAACCATTTACTGTTCATCAGTTTTTCACTGTTTTTGCAGATCACAATTTGATATTGTGTTATTGCCTTCAAGATGATGTTCAAGGTTTAAGGGTTAAAAGTAAAAGGCTTGAAAATTATTGTTCCCAGTTGATTTGTTAAATTGAGAGCAAATACAAGGTTTATGGTGAAATGAAAAGTTTAAATTTGTCGTTTTCCTTTTTTTGGCTCATGTAATTTGTGGTTTCATCATTCAGTTTTCATTTAAATTTTAACACATGATCATAATTGATTAGCCATCCATTATCGTCAAACGTGCAAAGTGTAAAATGAATTGACTTTGATTAACAAAGTTGCCAATTCAATTCTAGTTTCATTGTTTCTCAATTATTCAAGAAGCAATCGATCAAAACGTACGACTTCATCAGAATAGATTAAAATCAATTTTCTCTCCGCTATTTATTATTTAGTTTTTAGCTTAAAATTTCAAAATTTTACCAGAAAAACAATCAAAGTCAAAAACCCAAAGAAATAAATTGTAATTCCAAGCTGAAACATTTAACAGCAACATGAGTCTCATCTCGATAGTCTCGGTATTGGTCTTGATATGAAACAGTAGGATCAACTGACTATAAATAAATCAATTGTTGCAGCTATGAATACATCAGTAGTCACTAGTCTGACTTCATCACTTAACCTAAGAAGCTTGTCGTCTCGGTCAAACATTTGTACACCAGAAGGTCTTTGCATTAGGCATTTACGTGATTCAATGAAGCACATGTACTTTGACTTACAAACTTATCAGACGAAACTTGATTTCGAAAAGTCGAAAATTGATAAACTTTCAGATTGAACGATCACAACTCTTGGCCATTAAAATTTCGTTGGATTACCGGTTGAATGTTCAATTGATTTTTCATTTTCTTTTTTTAAATTTCTCAGTCTCAGTTTTTTTCTATTTCTGGATGAAATTTTCTGAATTTTTTGCAAGTTTAAATTACAGATTCATGTTACCTTTTGGATCGATTTACTAACGGTTCAATTTTAGATGAGAAATAAAGGTCAATTTTTTTAATCGAATGAGTTGATGAAACTCCAAACTGAGAATCTGGTAAAACTGCCATTCAATTAGTTATGTTTTTCCTTGTATTACCACTTGCTCATTGAGATGAGTAAAAAAATGTGAACAGCAAGAGCAGAAAAAAAGTAATGTTGAAGATGAAATGTTACGGTGATGGATGATTCTGTGCATAGTCATGTCCTTGCCCTGATCGATCAATGATTGTGCACACTTTAAGAACTCTTGAAATACTGTCAATCTTCATCTTCTTTCAACTTATTCTTCGTCTTCCTTTGACTTTTCCCATGATACATTTTGGCCCTTTTCTTACCTCACAACAACAACAAGCAAAAAAAGCTCTTCTCAACTCCCAAGTAAAAAGTTAAACTTATTTGCCAATAGCATTATTCTGATAATACTCATCATCAACATCATCATTCTGATCATCATTATCATTCCATCCCAATCATCACCCAAAACACTTGACTCTATTGCCTGTAAAGCAACAGCAAAAGAAGATAAAAAAATGAAACATTCTCATTTGACTTTCTTCCATTACATTATGAGCAACATTTTTATCCGTTGATCCAATTCATTTTGATCATGAATCCTCCAAACCTGTGCAAAAACCTGTTCCATGATTCATCTTTAACTCCCAGTTTTATAGATATTTATTTCATGATATTATCATATGATAATAGAGTAATAATATTATTACATTTTGGTAACAACAATGTCACTGAATCATAAATTTTGTTTTCTCACTTTTCAATTTCAATTCATTTGAAGGAACAGAAGAAAAGTATTAGAAGCGAAAAAACAAAGTTGTCCTTTTCATCCTTTCACTCTTCCACCATCATCATGATGATCATCAACAACATGATCCTTAAATTTGATAAATTTACTTTTTCCATCATTACATGGAGTGAAAACATTCCTACAGTTTATCTTGACTCATTTTTGCATGAGAACTCTTGGGAGAAAACATGATGTTTTCAGAGTAAAAAAGATCTAATATGTAGATGAATGTTATTTTATCATATTCATGAAAATAAATAGAAACTGAAAATATATTTATATTTATTTCTCTGACTTTTTCCTTTTCCATATAAGTTTACTTACAAATTTTCCGAGTAAAGACAATGCTTTTGGATGAAAATTGTGTATAAATATGAATATCATTTGATGATATTTTTTCACTTCTTTTTTTCACTTTTACAGTTGAAAGGTAAAGGTACAATAAATCATGAAAAGTCAAGTTGAGATTATTCCAAATGATATACTTATGGAACCTTTTTCGATTCACTTTTTGTCAATCATCCAATTTCATCAATTTTTCATTCCACATTTTCTCATGATAATAGTCTAATGATTTTCCAAATGATTTTGATGCCAAAAAAGGCGTTTTTCGAGTTCGATTCCGAGTCAATTATCAATATTTATTCTATTTATTTTTCATTATTTAATGTTGAGAATTTGAAATTTCATGAAAATTTTATTCCAAAGTTGATTTCGATTTGAATTTGAAAATTTTTGAAATGCTTTGATAATTTGAATCAATTTTCGCGAGTTAATTGAATAAGTTTTGGGAATTTATTTGGATTTTTTGTTGAAGAAAAGATTAATCGAAGAATGCATTTCTCCATTTCTTGGACTTTTCTGGCTTATTCGATATTCAAGTTATTGAAGTTTTTCAATTTATCTTTTTTGGCCATTTTCCTCTTTCCTTTGTCCAGATTTTAAAGTCAAATAAAGCTTCAAAATGAAGTTGACTTTAGAGGCAAAAAATGGTTTACATAATTCTTACAAGATCAATAGCAATCTGATTTGGTTGAATAAATTTGCTCATCATTGTGTTTCAGGAAAAATAAATGATGAAACTGATGCAATAGAAAACTCAGTGAAACAAACAATTTAAAGTTGATCCATAAATTCAAAGTTGGCCTTGATTCTAATCTTCATCTCTACCTTTAGGGTGACTATGGTGATGTTACTGACCGTAAAAAGCTTCGCGATCAACTCAACTGTAAATCCTTTGAATGGTATGTCAAGAACGTTTATCCCGAGTTGTTTATACCCGGTGAAGCTGTTGCTTCAGGAGAGGTAAGTGGATCGTTTTTTACTCGACTTTTCCCTTGTTTCCTTCCCTTCATCTGAGAGTGAAAATTTGAGAGTTGGATAATGATATAATCCAAGGTTAAAGGGAAATGAAAATTTTTCATGTTCTCTTTGCAATGAATCACCATGAATCATCTTGAATTGTCATGTAGTTCTAAGCCACCCATGATCATGTTTCCCATTCTGTTAACCCTTTCAGTAACACGATTCTAACCCAATTCTTTTTTTCTCCTTTTCTTCTGGTTCTTCTGGCTTTCTTTCTTTTCTGGTTCTAACAAAATCAGGTTCGTAATTTGGGTGGCGATTCACCGAACAAAATGTGCCTTGATTCACCAGCACGGAAACAAGATTTACATAAGGCAGTTGGCCTTTATCCTTGCCATAACCAGGGAGGCAATCAGGTTCGATATATAATCTGTGTCATGAGCATCATTCTGGTAAAGTTGAAAAAACTCGAAAACTTGTCATTCTGCCAGTTAAACACTTTTCATTATTCAATTTACCCCAAAAACATTAACATGATTGATTTACTAATGTATTAGTGCTACACCTTACCTCGAGTTCCGTCACTTTCATTACCTTAATTCAAGTCAAATGAAATTATGAAACAAGATGAAAGGAGTGAGAAAAAAGACTGAAGGCAAAAGAAAAAATCGTTGATCAAATTTCCATTCTGTAAAATTAATCTCAAGAGTAGTCTCTTTTGGTCTCATCACACGTTGTTCATGATTCAATATTGTTCAACTTTGCTCTGGGCCATCATCAATAACATTATTGAGTTTCAATGTGAACCAACTTGAAACACAATATAAAGGAGAAAAAACAAAAAAAAGAGAAAAATTATGTTCATTTTGAACCAATCGAAATGTAACTTTACACTCATTCTAAGTTGAACCTTCAGCAAAAGTTTCATCAAATTTTAAAATGTTTATTAGGATCAAATCCAGACTCATGAAAGTAGCTTTTCAAAAGCTCGAGTAAACTTGCAACTTTAATCAGCAAAAAAACGGAAATTAACTTTGACTCAAAGTAAGCTGATTACGATCAAATCAGCTCATCGATTCAGCTCTTTACTGTAATAATGCAAAACCAATGATCGACTCGAGTTGAACTCGTCTTTAAATTTTCACCCTTTAATAGGTAATGTTAAAGATTGGCTGAAAGGTTGAAGGTTGATGGGAAGAAACATTTTTGGGTTAAATTGTTGATTTTGTGAGACAAGCTACAACTGATGATAATTATTAGCTTCAACAGTTAATCTTATTAGCCGTTTAACAAGGTTTACAGAATAGGATTGGTAAAATTGTTAGCTACATAAATATAAATTAGTTATTTACTAATAAAAATAGCAATTCTGTTTCATTTATCAAACTGATAATTATATTATTTGTTGTATTATAAAGATAAGAGAAGAAGACTTTTCCCTGATTCACATGAATCTTGAGAGGAACAGATTAATGAAGCGTAAAAATAATTAACCTTGCAAAGTTAAACTGTAATCATCATGTTATTATCGGGTCCACTTGTTTTGAAACGTGAAAAGAGAAACGTTGATTAAACATTGAAACTCTTGTCAGGGTAAAACTCATCTTGATCATCATCTTAAATCAGGTGAAATGCTTTCAACAAACAACAAAGTAAATTAATCAATAATCCTTTTCAATCCAATTGCAATCCATCAACCTTACAAGTTTACCTTTTCAAGTTTCAAGAGATGGCGAAAAATTAAATTCTTTACCTTTTTCTTCTTACAATAATTGTTCAAGTTATTCTTGAAACTTTTAATGATGAATTCATTTTCCACTTGAATCGTCTTTTTTTATCAACACTTTTCATCTTGAAATTTGATTCAATTGTCAATCTTGTAAATTATACAATTTTCAAATGAACTTTACTTTGATCAAACTTCATGTTTACCATTTTCTAGTTTTCTTACTGACTTTACCCAATCTGATTACTGTTGCTGAATTTCATGATGATTTCAAGTTATTCGGGTCAACAATTTTTCTTCTTGTTTATCATGCTTTTTTAATACCCTTTGGAATATAAAGAAATGAAAAGTTTTGCTCGCATTTTTTTCCCCATCAAAAAAGGGAACAAAATTTGTTCACTTGTTTAACTTGTTCATACAAGTTGTGAACAGGTTAAACATTCAAAGATTCAACTCGAAATGATAAAGTCAATTTTGCCATTCCAATAACATGATAATATTGCTCATGAATGAATGGAAAAGCAGAAAAAGAAAAAATTACAAAGAAAATGTAAAAATTTATCAACGAATCAACAAAAATGTGGCGAAATTTCCATCGTTCGACTGATTAATTCTTGGTGAATTTATGGTGATTAAACATTGAAAACTTATCGAAATTATTGCAACTCTCGAAACTAACTTTTGATACAAAATTAATTTTTGTTTTAAAATGAAACATTGAACAGATTCGAAGTTTATCGACTCTTGAGAAGAGTGAGCAAGATGAACTTATCGATGGTTGGTGCCTCGAAAAGTCTCCTTTCAAGATTGGTTCCTATCATAAGCTGCAAATGTGGGAATGTTTACCTGGACGCGATAATCAGGTAGTTCATTTGATTGCAACACAAACATGAAAAAACCAAAAATGACGAGCATGGAAAAACTCATAAAATCGACTTTTGCTCAGAACAATATTTACTGAGGAAACCAGTATTTCATTTCAAGAATTTTCGATAAATTTTTTTCGAATTTTTTTCTGACAAAAAATTGGGCGAAATTTTCGTTGAGTTTCGATCTGGTTTGACTCTTCGTTTTCACAGTTTTTCATCATTTTCATCTGTTCTCAGCTTTGCATCAAATTGGTTTAGAATATTTTTTGGTCTTTTTCATTGTTTCAGAGTTGAATTGCTGTTGAGTTTTCAATTGAAACAAATTAAATTCCTACTTTACTTCAGTCAACCATTGATTCTTTTTCATCATCAACCATGAATAACCTTTCAAAATTCATTGTCTTTCTCTTTTCTGCATTCCATCAACAACTCAAATGAATAATAAGTGAATCAATTTTGCAGTTAAATTGTTCTTTCAATTAGTAAATCAATCAACCAACCAAAAAATACGTTTAACTGGCTTAACTCATTGTCTAACCAATTTATCTGATTGTTGCTCATCAAAACAGAAAACCTTTGTCTATTTTTTTACACTTTTTTAATTATTTTTCTCTTCTTTTCCCTTTTATCATTTCTCTCTTTTCCATGGTACTTTCACCCATTTTCCCTACGCTCCAAATGGTTCAATCAGTATTTCCTTTTATCCAGAGAAGGTGAGATTCGTCGTGATGAAGCTTGCCTCGATTTTGCAGGTAAAGATGTTGTCCTTTATCCATGCCATGGAGCCAAGGGTAATCAACTTTGGATTTATGACGATGATGTGAGTATCTCAACCTCTTTCGAGACCATTGAAGAGCTAAAATGAAAGGCATCAAAAAAACGTTTTACTGATGAACTGTAATGAAGAGTAAAAAGCAAAGATAAGTTTCAATTGAACCTTGAATGTTGATTGGTTGCTTCGACTTTTCTTTTCCTCTCAATTACTTTACTCGCCATTTCTTGCTTTTTATCCTCATCTTCACCTTCACCTTCATCATCTCAATCTTCATCTGTGGGACAGAAGCAACATCTCAACATGATTTGACAAGAAAACTATAACAAGCTAACACAATTAGTCTTTTACCTTTTCAAATTGTCTGAATAATTGGCTAAAGAAGGAATCAAAAGAAGAAGAAGAAGCAAAGCAAGCAACAAAATTTATCTGATGAAACATGAAAACACATTTCAAGTATCATCATGTATTGTCATGGTGTTGCCGTCAACATCACTCCATCTCATCCTCTAACCTTATTCATGTTGACAATGAACACAGTAAAAGATGTTTCAGGGTAAAAATAAGTATAATCTTTAATGAAATACAAGAGAAGAAGAAGGAAAAAAATGAACCTCAAAAAATATCATTTCACCATTATTATCATTCCCAGTTGATTATAATTCTCATTAGTATTATCATTAGTATTGTCATTATCATCATCATTCAACAGAACAAGGTAAAGGTAGAGAAAAAAATTATTTGCCTGAAACTCTTTTACCTTTTTTAGGTTCATATTATCACCATTTTTAAGCCGATTATTAACTTTACCTTTACATTCATTATTGTCACTCTTATCATGAAACTCATGTAAACACACAAATTGATAATTCAAATTACTTAGTCTAATTAGTGTTCAACTTCACCAAAGATAATCACTTTTCCCAAAGAATTTTATGAAATGGAAAAAATGATTTTCATGAAAAGTCTGCAAATTCAACTTTGAAATTGAATAGAAAATGAATTTTTTTCAGATTCTGTTTGACCCTTAGACATGATAATATTTACAATAATCTCATCAATCAGCAAGTTCATCATCAGCAACTATTTAACTTTGTTTTCCCTCTTTACTCTCATTTTTTGCTCATCTTGATCGCTCCATTTAACAATTTATTCCCCATCATTATCATCTGAATTGCTTTCATTGGAAGAGAAAAGTTGATTGAGAAAAAAAAGAAATGCTCACAACTTTTCGCTCTTCTTCCTCTTCTTCCAATCTTGCCTTAAAATAAACTATTTGCTACCATCAACATCAATTTAACTCGCAATTTGTTAAGTTCTGGGCTTCCATCGAGAATTGATGTTCAAACCTATTCCAAAGGGATCATTATTATCACCATTATTATCATCAATCCTGTGAACACACAAAATGATAACAGTTTGATAAACATTGAACTTGACCTAAATACGAAGATAAACTCAAAGTGTTCATTTTCAGCTCATTTTCTGGTCTCCAAATTATTCCTTTTCCTTTTTGTCTCTCTTCCAATTTCTAACCTCTTTCATCTTGTTTACTCAGAAAAATCAAATTAAACATGGAAGCAGCGGAAAGTGCCTTGAAATGTCACCCAAACGTGATAAACTCTGGATGAGACCTTGTTCACCCGAAAAGACCAACCAGAAATGGAAATTTCAAAACTTCAATCCGTCCAAATTCACCAAATTAGCGTGAAGACAAAAGACTCAAAAGTGAATAAAAACAAGTTGAAAGATTAATAAAAAAGTAATCGAAAGATAAACGAAATTGAAATAAACGAAAGACACAAAAATCCTGAAAACTATGAAAACCTGAAAAAACAAACAGATTGGCAAACCTTTTCACAAATGAAAGGGACTTTGGGTCGAAAGGGCGACGATGAACCAATTAGTAATTGAATAAAATGATTCAATCAATTGATGAAAAATGATGAAATTTGATCGCATTTCAAAGGACTCATTACTATTGACCATTTGCTGTACATTTTCACACAAAAGGAAAGCAATTTTCGAGTTACACTTGAACAAACCAACCATTACTATCATCATCACCACTTGAACAACCCTGATGAAGAAGAAGATTTGACAAAAAAAAAACTTTCAATTCTCAACCTTGTGATCTTGGTCATTGTCAAACCTCGTATTTCAAGTGACTTGTTATCCTCACTTCAACATCCATCAAAAAAGATTACCTTTTAATCAAACTCTTGCTTTACCCAATTCCCTCCCAGTTGACCACATAATCGTTGCCCAAAGTTCAACTGCAACAATTGCAAGCCAATCATTTGCAATGTTCAATTCTTGCGGTGTTTTCACCTTTTCTCACATTCCAATTGCAATTGTAAATTGTCCAACGCAAATGAATTGAAACAAAAGTTCATTATTTTTCCCTTCTTCTCACATGAGAATGAAGAATATCTGAGCAGAAATATCAACATTTCCATCTTTTCTTTTTCTTTCTTTTTCTCCATATTATTTCCTATTATCCATATAATTCATTTTTCATTTCAGCCTTTTTCGTTGAATCGATTGAAATTTCATTTCCATTCAAAGTCCATTTATCATACACTTTTGGCTTCAAAACGATCTCCATTGATTAATTGTCTACCAACTTGAACAATGTAATTTGAAGAAGAAGAAGATGAACAAAATTGCAATAATTTGATAGCCTTAGTCACCATCAGCATTTTGCCTGGTAATTCAAAGTATCCATTCAAGTGCCTCACTTGCCTCATCTCGATCATCCTTCATTAAAAGTGCCTTTTCCTAACAAACTGTTTCATCTTTCAATCACACTTTGTGATACACTTACAATAACTACAATTATTGCTATTAATATAAGCATTATCATTATTATTATCAACATAACATTATCATGATATTTATATGTGCCACTTAAGTTTTGTCTTGTTTTTTGTTTAATAAATCAGCCAGAGAAGAGCAAAGAGAATTGCTTTTCACTTCAACTCGGCTAATTGGACCTTTTAATTGTTGGTTAAATAAATGATTTTTATTGAATAAAAGTGAAGTGAAGTTTTCCTTTTTTGGACCAAAATTTAATTGAAATTTAACTTTTTGTAAAATCTGTAAAATCTTTCAATTTACAATGTAATTGAAAATTGCAAAATAAATTTAAATATTAAATTCAAGTTTGGCAAAAATTTTTCTCAAAGTTTTATATCAAAATTCAATTTCAACATATTTTCCTCATTGATTTTTGGTGAATAGGAAAAAGGTAAACTTGTTAAATAATGAATTCAGTTAAAGATTTATTCAATTAACAAATCAATATGTTATTCCATGCATGGATTTGGAGTGAAATTTGCTTTTCATATTTCAGTTCACAGTTGAACTTTCCATCTCAAGGCTATTCAATGATTTTTATTGATTTCATTTTTTTTGCTCATCAATTCGAAATCAACTGATGGACTGAGTTTTTCAGTCCAGTTTCTGGTTTGGCAAGTTCATGGTGAATGCTTCAATGTTTGGAGAATTTTGAAAAGAAGTCTGAAAATCTCTGATGAACAGAAATCAAGGGTTGCTGTTACTGAAACTGAATAATCGACCTGATTTTCATTGAACAATTCAAAGTAAATCTGCTGGAATTGTATGAAGTTTTCATGCATTTTTCGCTTAGAAATTCAATAACAAAAAATCAACAGTGCATATGACTTTGTCTGAACCATTGTAGACACTTTAACCAAATTTTGGCCAAATTTTATTTTTCTTTGAAATTATATAACAGAATGGATGGAGAATATTTCCTGCTGAAAGTTTTTCAGTTTTTCAAGAAAAGTAATTTCATATTAATTCCTTTATAAACAAAAAGAAAAAAATATTTAATATGAAAATGTCTAAGGAATTCATGATATTTTTACACCAGCGATGCTTATTTAAATTGTGTTTGAAGATTCAAAATACCTTTTTAGGGTAAGATTAAGAACAGGCAGTTAGATGTTGATCGCGTACTGATTGCGAGTTTTTGACTAAAGTTTTGTTTATTTGATCACCATTTGGTAACCAAACTTAAACATTTACAAATGCAAGAAAAGATATTTCAATGAACAGTTTTTCATAGTATTTGGTTCAAGGTGAAAATTCTGCAAAATCGACAGAATATAATAAGATGTACTTCAAGTTTCAATGGGAAGTAATTAAATGAAACGTCTCAAGGTAGACAGTTAACTGTTATTGATAACAGGAAAGCTATTTATACGTTACCTTCCATTACTATTATAATTGCGTTCAAAGCTACAAAACTTTTTATTTGAGTGATCAAAGAAAATTATATCAAAAGTCGGAGGTAAACTCGATTTTCGGCCTTTTAATAAATTCTTATTTTCTGGATGGAATAAGGCGAATACACTTTGTCGGATTGAAAGAGAAACTTAAAATTTCGATTCAAAAGGGAAAAACTTATCAAAGATCAACCAAAGAAAGTTGAAACATTGATTTTCTTCGGTCCAATCGATTGCAAAGTTTTTCTCTGACCATCTTTGACCATTATAGATTGCAATTAGAACTGTTAAACTGTTAAATTAATTGCATTTCATTGTTACATTATTCCTGAGACAGTCCATGACAAATGCATGACTTTGAAACAGATTGAAAGATTGCACTTAGAATAGATTGATCAACTATTTAATCAATTTTCACTTTAACCTCATACCTTTAGGGCACAATGTTCATTGAATGTCAAAGATTATTGATTGACTTTTACATCTGAACCTGTTCAGTCTGTGACAAGAAAAAAAAAGATTGATTGAAAAGGCGCTTCAATATTGTTCCTCTTTCGTCCAGAATGATTCAACTTTTAATTGCAATTTTCTTGTTTCCTTTTCTCAAGTAAAAACTTTCTTCCATCAATAACAATAATGGACTGAAATGCCCAAAGTGAAATACAAGAAACAACAAAAACTAAACCAAACAAAAACGTAAAACTCAATGTGAACATAATAATGCAATTATGCGAATCAAATGCAACTTTAATGAGGCAACAAATTTGATAGAAAAAAAAGTAACTGAATAAAGTTCTGACAAAAATAGTCCAATTATATTTTATGTCAATAAAAGTTTTCTTTTTATCAAAACAATGAAATTATTTCACAAAATTGATTGAATTACATTTGAATTTATAATTTAAAATCAAAATGAATATCAAACATTCCAAGAGAAATATTTTCATTTAAATTCTCATCAAACTCCGAAACAACTCCCAGTCAAACTCCCAGCAAAATTCCTTGTTAGACACTTAATAAGACTTGTTATCATTTCATTGCTGATATCAGTATAACCATGTAAACAAATGAAAGAAAAACAATTTGAAATCAATAAATGTTGAAATGACAATTGTTTTTGATTTGTTTTTTGTACTCTTTTTTTGTTCCATCAAAATTGCCATGAAAAAATGAACAATTTTTGTTGCGAAAAAATAGAAAAGAGCAAAATCGATTAAGATTTTTGATCTTATTTTGATTCTTTTTTTGCTTCATCTTTTCATTCACTTTCTTTTCATCCTGTCATTTCTCATGGTAGGTGGAAAAGGATATTCATGGGAATTATTTGTTCAATTATAGTTGAATCTCAAGAATGGTGAAAAGAGTCTTTCATCTTTATCAGTAAACAATCATGAAACGAAAAATGGAACAAAAAGTAAAATTTTCTTTTCTAAACTTTTTTTTCTCTCTCTCTCCTCAAACATCATTCTTGTACAATGAAAATTTTCACTTACAGGGCTTACCAAACATGATTAACTTTATCATTGTTCAACTAATCGATGATCATGTTCATCACATTTTCCCTCCCTGTTCATTCCCTAATAACCATTGATTCTGGTCAAACTGGAGATTTAAGTATCAATGAACATTCGAGTTGATGTATATCAACATGATAACAATTGGAAGAAGAATAACATGAAAACATTTACCATCTCAGCACCTCATGATAATTGATGAGCAAATGATTTGAAACGCAACGAAACAAAAATATAATAACAACGAGAGAGAGAATAAATCAAAGAGCAAAAAGAAGAGCGAAATGTTTTAATGATGATAATAACGAGGAAAGAATGAGTTTCATCAGAATTTCCAGAACAAATGAGTTCAACTGTTATTGGCTTCCAACTGTTTATGGGTTCATCAAATCATCCGTTCCAATCTGTTGGATGATTGGAACGCATTTTCACCCAAAGACTAAACCAAATTGACGTTCAGCTTTACACTGTTTTCCTTTCCAATGCTTTACCAAACCGTCTAATGATGATAATGACAATAACAATTGTTGAGTTTTTATTTCGTTTTTTGTCTCAATTGGTTTCATTCAGTCTTCCTTTACAGTTTCCATACAATTGAACTTTCATTGAGGCAATAACAACAAAACTCGAGTTCAATTGCGTCAATTTCACTCCTTTTTGTCAACTCACTTTATTCATTATTTTGTCTTCTTTTATGATATCATTTCAATTTTATTTTTGCCTTTTATTTTCAACTTAAACTTTTATTGCCATTCACTCGCTATTGATGGATATTCAAGTCTCTGTTTAATCACAAGCTTAATTGGCATCTCATTGAATCAACTCATTTGTTTCGATATAATTTTCGAATTGGAAATTTTGGAGAATCTCTGAAGAAATGTTTTTCTCTCTGTTGATGTCAGTCGAGTTCTTACATGGAGCTTTTTCAACGTCAAATGAATCTTTTTGTCCAAATTGTATCTCTTAGTTATTATCATTTCTGTTCATCCAATGTTTATGGTCACGGTTTGCTTTCAATTATAAATATTGAAATGGTTACAAATTGTCATTATAATCATTAACCATTTTTTTGTTCATTTCCATCTGAATCATTGTCATGTTAAAGAGTTTGAAAGCAAATTAGCTAATTATTGAGATTAAAACTCCACCCTTTGCTTACTATTAACCAACTCATTACGATAATTCAAATGATTGCTTTTAATAATAGTTGAAACTAATGGTTCCATCATGTTATGATAATTACATTAGTTTCACAGTTTGCTTCGTCATGAAATTAGTTTTGATTGTATTTTTATTTTCCATTACTCTTTGTTCATCATATTTCATAATAAATTATATTTAGAATCAGTTTCATCATTATTGTTGTTATTTTGTTTCGCACACAATCATGAAAATAAGTTAATAGTAAATAAAATCAAAACATTTTGACTTTTTTTTCTTTCCTTTCCTTTGCTCTTGTTACAGTTTTATATCGTCATCAGGAGTAAATAACATGGCAATATTGATTGAACGGAAAATAATAGTCTAATAATGATAGCATTATTGCCTGAAGGAGAGACGAGAAACATTGAGAAATGTCTATTTTCCATGAAAATAGCCAGTTCATGAGAAACAGACTTGACTAATGAAAATAATCATCTGATAACTTCACAGAAGAACATAATGCCAGATTGGATTTCATTTGATTCAGAGTATGGATTGAATTACAATGGCAAAGTTCTCAGGAACATTTCGCAATAATTATTCTCATGGACTTGACTAATCATGAAACTTAGTGTTAAGCAATCTAATTGCATCTTAATGCTTTCGAATGTTGAACTCTGTGATTTTCAGAAAATCCAAGTTCTCTGAGAATTGTATCGCAATGTTGAGCTTTTTTTATTTTGAAAGTTTTTTGAGACTTTTAAGGCGATAGTCTTTGTTGATGGATATTGATGTCTTCTTGAGGTCTTATTTAGTGCTCAAAGTAGCTGATGAAATGAAACATCGATCGTTGTCAGAAAATTATTAAAGTGACTCAAAATAAATTGTCATTTATGTGCTAATAAAGAGCTGAATTTTGCTTGAATGGTCAATCCTTTTTGATATCCAAGTTTACGTTTTGACTGTGAACGTAAATGGATCGAACCAAATTGCAATCAAAATCAAATTAAGGTGAGAACGAGAGTTGAAAAATGTATTTCTGGTAATTGATGAAGTATCATCAAACTTAATTCAATATTCCCATCACGATTGACTCTCGATAAACTCAAATGTAAGCCAACTGCCATCAACAAGAAAATTAACTACAAAATTGTAAACTTCAATATCCATGTAAAACATGATGTAAAACAGTTTCCAATAAAGGGTAATATTCAAATGAAATCATGAAACGTTTACATAAAAATTGTGACGGAATTTCAAAATAACTTCAAGATTCTTTGAAGAAACTGTCCAAAGATAAACTTATTTCCACCGAACTATCATAGTTGGTTCATGATGAAGCAAATTAAAAGTGCGATTCAAACCCGAAACCAGAAAACTGTTTTGATTTACTTTTCTTTTCTTTTCAATGATTGGCATAGATTTGTATTCACATGCAACCAATTATCTAGCATTCTGTATTCCCCTGAATGACAACTAATGATAACCAGAATATTGATGTTTATTATGTGATGAACAAGTTGGCTACAGATAGGAATAATTGTTTGGATGGAAACAGGATGGTAAATGAAATGATGAAAGGAAAAAGATGATTTATTTCCATTGATTATATGCATAATATTATGAATCTATCATTGGTCAGTATTGTTCACATCGAAATACATGTTGAATGAAAGAGATTCAACATTGAAATCATTGCTTTTGATATGTAATGTTGCAAGTAAACGGACTGAGAGTAAGTCATCAATGACAATCAGAGTAACATTTTGTTGATGAGAAATGAAAAGATGAAACACACAAAATGAAAACCCAATGCATCAATGATACAAGATGAAAAGGATGAAAGTTGAATGCATTCATCTGATCCAATCAAAGGTTCAATGATTGTTGCAAGCAAAAGTTGAAAACTATTAACCATTACAGGGAATAATATTAATCACATTTCTGAGCTTTTCCATCACAAACTTATTCTGTTATTGGATAAAAATATCATTTTGTTCAGGTAATTGGTCCAAGTCTACAATTGATTGAGGAAAGTAAGAAAAGGATGAGAACAAGAGAAATGATTAAAATCGAGATTCGACAAGACCTTAATTACACTGGTTTAATTACCAATTAGCTTTTATTCACTTATTGAATGCCCTGTGGCTGAAACGCTTCTCAATCGATCAGACAAAATGTTCTATTGTTTCAATTTCCTATTCGAAACACTTTTTTCATTCCTTGCTCATTGATTTATTGACTAATGCCAAGCATTGACTATAAGTTGCTCTTTAATTGATCTTTGATGGACTTTTATTGCTAAATGCTTTCACTTTTAACCTTTTTCTCTGTCCATTTTACTTCTGGTTCGAATGAAATTCGATTGAATTTTTTCATTAGCTGCTCCATCTAATGAGTTGCTTTTGAGCAAACTTTCTTTGCTCATCTTAAAACAGCCTCAAGTCTTGACCTTTCATTTAGAATCGTCATTTTAATCGAAATTTTCCATCTTTTTTGTCACAGTAATCTTGTTACTCTTCACTTAATAAAGAGTTGATCTCAAGTAGGAAATTGTAAAGTTTATTGTTCAACTCATTGTAATTCAAGTCGTGAAATTAAAAAAGTGATCTTCTTCACTTTTCACTATTCTCATGACTTGCAACTTTCAACATTTGGCTTGAGTTAGACAAGCTTATTGTACCCTGAAAGGAAATCAATAGCTACTCAAGCAAACTGGATTAGTTTTCCATGTTTACACATAAAGTGTACTTTCATCAGTTTTCATTTTCATTCATTCGCCATTCGTAACAATAGATGCCACAAGTTTATTATCATAATTTCAGGGAAACTTCAAAGGTTCGAGATGATCAACCAAACTTCAAACCTTCAAAGGGATTAAAGAATCTAGAAGCTATCGGAAAGCAATGATATCAACCGAAATTACAACTTAAAGATGGTCTGAGGTTGAATTTACTCACAATTTTCTAAGCATTTAAATTAGACTTTTGCCTTCAAAAATGCTCATAATAGCAACTTCAGAGTCAGCTACAGTTATAAACTTTGCTGTCTTTAGACGATTTTAAAAGCTTAGTGAAACAAAACATTTAAAAGTGCAGCTCGTCAGGTAGATTCTGGATACAAACTGCTATCAAACTACTCCAAAAAAGGATATAAGAAGAAGTATAAAGATAGAGATGTACTGAAGCAACGACGAGTTTCTGCTGTGACATTCGAACATTATTTCGCTCTATTTTCAAGATCAGAGATCAACCGACGAACGTTTATTGCGTCTTTTTAGGTTGAAATAGATAATCCAATCAAGTAAAATAAAAGCTCATGAAGTAATTAAAGTAGTGAAAACAATAAGAACTTGATAGATGATGGAAATGTTTAGGAAACATTAATTTCATTGGAATTTCAGTTTATTAAAGGAAATGAACAGTTTGCAATAGTAAAAATACAATCGGAAAGGCATTTTGATCATTGTTTTAACCAATTACATTTCTGAAACTCATTAAAGTTGGAAATGCCAGAAACTTTATTATTTGCAGATTGAAGATGAAAGATATAAATTGATCTGAAATCACGTTAATTGAAAGACTTAGTGATTTACTGGTTTATTTTCCTCTATTTGTACATCTTGTATCTTTTAAATCGCAAGTTTTCATTGTCAGTGATAACAAGGATCGACCTTTCCAATTGATTTTTGTTTCAATGCGCAATCCTGCACTTTTGAAAAACATCGGAAATTTTCATTCCAGGTAAAGTACCATGAGCAAAGGTAAAGATTGAATTGTCACTTGTTGATAAGGCGAGACAAAAACAGGAAATTGAAGACTTTGAAAGTGGATTAATCAACTAATCAACCAATCAATCAACTGTTATTAAGATGATAGCAAAAAGATGAATCTTCATGAAACTGTTTACCCTTTATCATGGACTTAACTGACTAAAGTTATCATTTAATTAACTCAATGATCGATTTCCGGTAAAAACAAAAATAATTATAAAAACTGATTTTGCAACAATTTGCTATTCACTTGGCTAATCAAAGTATCATTAAATGTTGACTGGAATCAATAATGAAACTATTGGATTTTATCCAAGACTAAGTGCTCGATTGCGCGACTCAATTTCAATGGCTCATCATGAAAAGCTAATCTAACTTAACCTAATCACTTGAGTAAGTCAAGTCAAACGTTGCTTTTCTCAGAGCTTAGAGATTTAACTCAAAGTTCAACATTGTCAGATTATAAAACCAAGACTTGGACTTGAACAAAATCAAATGAAATATTTAGGTTTCTTCCTATTTTTTATCGATAAATAAGAATTTTTGACGTTTTCATGATTGAAAACAGGGTTTAAATATTGGCCGAAAATAGCCAGAAAGTAAAACATAAATCTGATGATTTAGTGCACTTCACTCGTAAGGTAACTATTTTGATGAAAAGGGAAGTAGATTGAAACTTGTGTTTAGCAAATGTTTAGACCCAAGAATCATGTTAAAATTTATATACATTCAGGTTATTTTGATATCGTAACAAGAAATTTACAACAAATTGAATTGTTCTGACACAATTTAATGTTTAACTTGATACTTGAATCCATTGATACAAAATTAATGAAACTCTTGATGAATCTCGAGATTAATGTCGATATCATCATCTTGACATCTTTAGTAAATGTAAAGTTAAATTCTGGTTTTATAAAGATATCTTTGAACTATTGACTTAAAATTAAAATCACTGAAGCACTTTTAATGTAGCTTATTGATTCAGATTCTAGAAAATTTATTGTGTTCATGATTTTCATTGATAATAGTCTCATCATTGGGCTTGAAGCTCATTTGATTCTGATAAACATTTCGGTTTTTTGTCTAAAATGTATCTTATTGAAGCTCATCCAGCCAAACCCAAATATCAGCTGGATCCACAGTCCTAATGTTACTTGCTTTCCACTTTACAACCGACAAGCTTAGACTGCTGGGTATTGAATGTCAGTCTAACTGATCCTCCGTATGGATGAAGCAAGTGAACATGGATAAGTTTCCGTAACTGAATTTACGAGATGAAACTTGCTCGTTCCCAAGCTATCTATTTCAATGTTTACTCCATCAATGTTAATTTTGATGGCTTTTCTTTCTTTATCTATTCATTTATCAAGTTAATCAATTGAGTTTATCATTTCTTACATCAAGTTTCAATTGACGATTACTTTACAACTGTCATTGGAGTGTGAATAGTAACTGAATACTTGAAATTAGCAAAAAAGTCTAACTTTGATTTTCATTCTCTTTTCAAATTAATCAACAAACTTGCAGCTCATTATGAACATTCATGTTTTCAATATTGTTACTTAAATGAATAATAACCCAATGATAGTCGACTCCTATTAAAAAGTAACTCTCATAGGGATAATTAAATTATATTTTACAATGAAAAATGGTCCAGTTAAAAGTGAAGCTAATTGATGGGTTAAAGTGGGCAACAAAATTTACTGATTGTTAACCAGTGTTTAAACGTTTAGACACAATTTCCCATGTTAATGTACAGTTGAATGGGTTAAAGATGATCAGCATAATGAAGAGCATATAAAATGTATCAAACTAAAAATAGAAACAATTATCATTAAATTTGAAGGCAAAAAAGGTTAAAACTGAATTTTAATGCAAAAAAAGAGATATTTTACTGGAAATCCAAAAGGTTGGGATTGAACAAGGTTGCTTCAATATGGATTAATGATATCGATCATCTGATGACCTCAAAAGATGAATGCAAATGATAATAAAATATGTGTGATTGGTTGGTAATTGATTTGATTGTTGTTTGATGAGCATTTGATCTAAATAAACACAGTTCATGTTATTAGGCTTGTCACAGCCAGAGGCTTTTGTCACCATACTGGGCTATCCTTAATGATAAGTTACTGGGTGATAATGATTGAGAGGTTGGACGATCATGATGATGATGATGAGAAATGTTAAAGTGAACATGGAGACAAACAGATTGAAAATATGTGATAAAATTGAAAGTAAACTTTATAAGAGGCGCTCTTTCATTTCTTGGTGATTTTAATCACAAGATGTTTACTCAACAAGTTAATATGATGTGACTCCCCTTGAGCTTCCTACTTTTTTCCTCTTCGTTTTTCTTAACATTACTGGTTCAACTCTGGAAACCGCAATAATTTTTAACTAATCATTTGGTCTAGTTTGTTGCTCTTGTTCAATAAACCAATCATACACCAGTTACCATTGGTTTTAATTTTGCGCCAATTTTATTATGTGGGTTAAAACCATTTTTGGATTCCTTGTAACAGGTGAGCGCTGTTTTTGTCTAATATTTATCCCTTTAGGTTTAGCTTTTTTTGTTTTATTAATGTTTTCTTTTATTTTTTGATCTTTCCCCCCCTGTTGCATGTTTTCGCAGCTCACTGTTGCTTCCTCTTGAGTTGTACACTTCAAATCAATGATTCTCACCCTGAAAATGGATCTGATGAACTATCAATTACTGCCAACTACTGTGGACCCAAATTTCTGTGCCACCTAACGGGTCATTGTGTCTTCTATTCATGGGTTTGTGATAATGTCAGTGACTGTATTGGTGGTGAAGACGAGGCCAATTGTGAGACCAACGTTTGTCCTGAAGGTTATCATCGATGTAACCAAACGGGCCAATGTGTTCCCTACAAATGGATCTGTGAGGGTTCCTTCATGTGTCCCGGTCACTCTGGTCCACTTCCTTGTGCCAATTACACTTGTCCTTTGGGAAAATTTAAATGTACTTCTGGTCGTTGTATACCTAACTATCTCATATGTGATGGAGATCCTGATTGTGATGATGGTTCCGATGAGACTGAGCAAATGTGCGCTATCTATTGTTCCTCTTCAACCGGCAAATATCTTTGTGCAGGTGGACGTAAATGTATATCGACAATGTCTCAATGTGACTTGATCTATGATTGCCCTCAAATGGACGATGAATACAACTGTTCAATAGATTAGCTAAAATACTACCCAATGTATAATATAAAAACAAACAAATCAACATCCTTCAAATCTTCATTTTCTGGTTCATTTCGTCTTCTGTTTTTCTTTCACCAATCACACTCACCATCAACAATCTCATTAACTATACCTATTACTTCATTTAATACTTCAACTTGAGCATTTTCACTATCAATCAATCTCGTATTGCATGGAAAGTAAAACTCTTCAGTATTTACCTCAAAAACATCAACATTAATATTATTCCACTCATCATGTTACATATGTTTGTTACTTACATGTATTATTGTATCCTAACTGAATTATTTATCAATTTTGTTCATCTTATATAAATACTATTCAATTAACTGAAAAATTTATACATTTATCAATGACAAGCAAGCAAAAAGCAAAAGTAAAACAAACTCGCTTTCAAAAACCTTAACTCAAATGTAGAATGCTCAATCAACGCCACCAACAGAGGCCTGACAATCTGATTATTAACAAGATGAGCCGTTAAATATTTAAGCAATTGTCAACTCCATTGCTCTAATGACTTTTGCATAATATTGCTATTAACACAGAAACCAGTAAATATAGTCAACCATACACCAGATCAATCTAACTAATCATCTGTTACAATGAAAGCAGCTAAAATGAATTTACAGAAAGGGTTACCTTTTAAGTGAATATTGAGGATATTTTTAAGTTAAAATAATACATTTAATCATTTATTGTTTACTAAACGATGCCAAACATTATTAAAAAAGTTGGAAATTCTTGTGGTTATGTTGAATTTATCAGGTTGGGGAGGAACTTGTTCATCAAATGGACATCGTTTCTCCTTTGCAATAATCTCCAACAATTTAACCAACTCATCCTGGGTTGATGAAGTTTTCAAATCATTAGCAATCACCTGTAATCTTTCATAGAGCTTAGCATCTCCGAGTAAAGTTTCAATTGCATTGAGAATCCCGCTCTCATCCAATTGGAATGGATTAAATTTAAAGCCCAAGTGCTTTTCAACTATACGTTGAGCATTATCATGCTGATCAATAAAGAAAGGTAAAACAATCATTGGCTTTCCATTGTGTAAACATTCAACTATGGTATTATTCCCACCGTGAGTTATCACAAGATCAACCATTGGAAGAATTGCTAATTGATTTAGAAATCGTTCACCCCACATGTTCTCAGCTAATTGGATCTTTTCGTGATTAGGGCCCTTGGAGACGATAAATTTATGGGGCGATTTTGCCAAAATAGCGAGTAGATTGCTCATCACTTCAACCATTCCAGAAAACCATGATCCCAATGAGACGTAGATTAGTTTACCCGGTCGATCTAAAAATTCTTGTGGAATGACGGTTGAGAGTTCATCGTTTGACCGAATAGAGTTGTCCATCCTGAAATAGTGTTTTGGTAAAGTGGCAACATCACGATAATCCAATTCTTTGGGGTAAGCGTAAACATTGAGGTATGGCGATTCACGCTGAAAGTAACCTGTATTAACTGGGCCTACACCTTTGCTTGCAAGATATTTATTGTATAAAGCATCACCTGAGGATCTTTCTTTAAAATAGCGATCCCAGTATATTTGACAAACCTCTTTAGGAGTATCCAACGGATAACCTGAAAAGGGTGGAGTAATCTGTTTCCCGTAGAGTATATGTGGACTGGGTGTGTGAAAATATACCCATGGAATACCGCTTGTTTCGGCAGCAGGAAGGGCCAACAGAGTTGCTACAATCAGTAGGTCAAAAGATTCTTTAGCCAAAAGAGCTTCTAAACCAGTATCAATTTGTATGTGATCTTCATACAACATTGTCTCTTTACCAGACATCCAAGAGACTTGTTCAAGGGTTGATTGAGACAAGGTTGGAGCCAAAAACTCGAGCACAGCCATTTGACGCGCTGCTTGATCAGCTTCATCTGGTTCAACTACATCAGCATCCAAGACTCGCACTTCATAACCACGAGCTTCAGCTGATGGTTTCCACTTTTTATTCAAAGCAAATATCGGTTTATGTCCATGCTTTGTCAGCATATCAGCTAGTCCTAATCCAATGTTAAGGTGACCATATCTAACACGTTCAAGGAGGAAACAAAAAACAAATCATTATTTTCAATCAGGAGAAAAATAATTACATGGAGCAGAAACGTTAAATCAAACAATTTAGTTAACACATAATTAAATGATTAAATTGGAAGCAGAGTTTTTTCTCGTATGAAAAATTAGCTTCCAAACGGTGTCAATAAAGGGTTAAACTTACAGCTAATCTAAAAAGTGAAAATAAATCAGCTAATCTTACGACTTTTTTAGCATTCATTTTCAAATTAAAACATTCGATTTTTCATTTCTTAACAAAATAAAGATTGATTTATAAAGCGTGAAATCGTAAGCATTGAAGTAATACTTCAACTTCAAGTTTTTTCAAATGTCTGTGTTTTTCAAAATAAACTTTCGGTTTTTTTCGGGTTAACATAAACCAGCAAACCAGTTATCGGAACAAGGGGAAGAAACTTGACAATCAATTGAATCACAATTTCACGGCAAAATCGCACCAAACTTGGACGTAAATATTAAATTTCTTACCCATTTGTCGGAATGATGAGAATCTTGATTGACTTGGCCATATTTAAATCAAAATAAATTTACAATTAAAAGAAATAGGAACTTGGATGTAAATAATCTTTTAAAATAAGAAACAACCGTTAAAATTGAATAAAACTTGATTTCACCAATTCAGACACGAGGTAGACAAAGGAAGGTTGATTGAACTCAATGGTCAAGACAATAGTCCAACTGTATCCAGAGATGTTTATTAAATAGTGAATCAACAAAAGGTTGACACTGACTTCGGGACAGACTAAAAGCACAAATGAATAGATGAACAAGAAATACTAAAAGTGAACCAATTGTGTTAGATAACAATTTGAAAGTGATGTAAATGGTGACGGTTACCTGGTGGTGATAAGTTCTGTATTAAATGTGAGATTAGCCCAAAAAAACGCAACTAAACCAGAGAGGCAGTGAAAAGAGATCAAGTTTGTCTTTCGTGAGACTCAACACTTTTGGTTCGTTAAAATGGTTTATCATCATTATTATCATCCTGATCATCTTCTCCAATCTATGATTACCAATGAGAAATGAAGATAAACGTAAAGATTAAAGGAGGAGCCTTTATTACCTGGACTCTAAGGACAGCAGTCCGTTTCATGGCCAACAACATCTTGCACTTACAGATTGAATGCAAGTCAGCATACACTCAAAATGACCTTAAAGTCAGTTCTATCTCCATCTTTAGTATTTTCATCAACATCTTCTTCGCAGTTGTGGGTGAAAAATTAAATCTAATCACTAATTGTTACTTTTGATTACAATACCAATGAGCAAATTATAATTTTAACACTTAATTGGAAGTTGTTACACTTGTAAACTTCACAACAAAATGTAACTAACAATCACATCAAGACAATCGATCTAATCGTTTCCTAGTATTCAATTCAACAAATTATCTTCTTTTTTTAATTTCAGTGCAATCGTGTGATTTTCAGGGGAATGCGGTGCTGAATCACTGAAAGTTTCCTTTCGAAATCAATCATTCTCATAACATTCAAGTGCATTTGGAATATTCTTGATGTTTTTCCCTCATTTGGGTTGAGTTTATGTGTTAGATTTGGTTTAATTTTACTAATTAATCTGTTAACTGGAATTAACCATCAAATGACGGATCGCTGGAAGCTAATTTTACTTCCACAATGGAATCATTTCATTTCATTTGTCATAATTAACTCAACTTAATGAAATCAACTTGTTTCCACGTAAAATGATCAAACAAGATTTTGAAATCAATTGATGACAACTGTCTAAAATGAGCTTACATGAGCTGTACTAGGAACTAAACGAGAAACAGTCGACTAACTAGGATTAACACACTCAAACACTCTTTTGGCCTGATCTTGCGAGTTGTCACTACGCTCGAAAATCACTCGATACACTAGAGGGCGCTAGTATCGCCTATGTAAAAAAAGACAACAATCCGCCTAATTGCCCACAATTAAGGCCAATTGAGGATTTTTGGGCAAATTTGAAATGCAAAGTGTACGCAGATGGTTGGTTGCCTCGAAACAAGTTACATCTTATTCGTAGGATCAAAGATAAATTGCGTACATTCGATCAAATTTACTTCAACAATTTAATTGGAAACATTAAATCTAAAATAATCAAAGCAGATCGAGACGGAATCAACACTCTTATTCATTAATAAAAGCATGATAAATCCTATTTTGGCAATAAAAAATCTCTATCTTAAGTAGTTTTTGCTAGAGAATCATTCAAAGTTCATTTCCATTTCTATTCCGGATATGTTACGCGACGAAAAAAAATGAACTTCAATGGTGATATTAAGTTGAATCAATTGAATTTTAATTAACATTTATACACATTATGATTAATGAATCGCAATCATTCAACTGGATTTTATCAAAAAAATTGAAAATTAAATTTTGATAGCTAAGCTATTTTAAATTACCCAGAGATGGGGCTCTAGTCGAGGGACAATTTCGGGTACAGTTTGTAGTTGACTTTACCAGAAACCGATTTGAATGTCGTTGTCAAAATTGGTTCCTTAGGTGTTTGGCTCTGAAATTTTGGCATCTTTTTATAATCATTTTTAAGAATAGTAAATCATCTAATAAGGGTTAGCTCATTAGGTAAAGGAGTAGGTGAAAGTACGGAGTTTGGGTTAAATCCTGGTGACTTTTTTTCTGTAAATTATTTTAAATGATTTAGAAAGTCTAAGCAAATTTTTGTATGAATTTGTGCTAATCATGTTTAACTAAAACAGCTATATCGATTGTTATCAATTAAGAAACATTTTTGAAATGATTATAGTAAAAACTCCCAAATTTTAAACCCAAATATCGCAGGAAATACTTTCTCCTGATGAGACCTTCGACAGTTTTTCATGACTCAATGTGCTCTATCTAATGACATTGTTTTCTGGTGTCTCAAGTTTTCTTGTTAGATGGAAAACTGAATTTTTAAAGTCAACAGCTGATATTGAAAGCTTAATCTTGAAATTGTTTACATCAATGGGTGCGTCAAATGTCATTTCAACGCTTGAAAATGCAAATTTATGCAATTAAAAAGGTAAATTAATTTTTATTTGGTTTATCAAGAATCATATGCTTTAAGGTAGAAAGTGCAAAAATAAATTTGATAATTTGAAAAATTGATTTACACAAACGGTGAAAGAATCAAGTGATCATTGGAATTTTATTTACAATTTTTTTCGTTTCGAATAGTAAAAAAGGCAATTTATAAATTTTAATTTGATTTGGTCTTAGATCTTAATCTAAATTATATTTTGTTGAACGATTATTGTCTTAGAATTATTAAAACAAATCAAATGCTTTGATAGAGACAAGTTTCAATCATTTGGTATTATAAATGTATTTTGAACATGTTTCGTGTTGATTGTAATCATTAATCAACAATATTTTGTAAAAAGGTAAATGATTATTAGAAAATATTATCGTTTTTCACTCCAACAATGGAGACAATTAATAAAATTGATATTAATAATATAATAATTCTTGGTGTGCTTTATGTTCATACACTTGAGGTGATAAACTTGATGTCAGTAATTTAAAAGCGAAAACAATCGTAAAGAAAATTAATAAAAAAACAATATCCAATCGATGATAATTGAGACGTTTGTGGGTGATAAGTACAATTGTAACGGAAATTTTTTAAAAAAAGGTGAAGACAGTACAAAATCAGTTGATTTAGGGTAAAGGGTAAAATGTTGGATGGAGCAGGTTCAAGTAATGCAAGATTAATGCAAATAACAAAATAGTCACAGAGATTCTGGTGTATTGGGTTGGTCAAGCTTCATTTTGTTATCATAATTTTTTTACAACTCAAAATTTCCAAAATTCAGACTAATCTTGAATCTTGATTTGGTGATGAGCTCATATTTCAACACAATCCAAACGTAAGATCAAATTGATTGTTTAAACGTCTGTTTTGTGGTTCTAGAAATAAAAAGTCTCATCCATTTGGCAACATTATCTACATTTAACTGCAGGAAAAATTAAATTTAGGCACATTCATAAACTGTAAACTGATGGTTAAAAATTGCGATAACAAAATTATTATGCTTGCTGGATTGGCCTTAGCAAATAAGCTAATAAGTAAATAACTAATAAGCAAAATATATATATAAGCATAAAATATATATATTTTCTGGTATAAATTGTTAAACGTTGTTATTGATTTAACACTTGATTGAGTAAAAAATATTAAAAGTTGATTTCTTTAAGATCCTGAATGTAAATGCGGCATCAGGGTAAATCGATTGATCCGATGCGACCAACTGTCATCAGTTCGTGTAAATTTGATTGATTTACTGACTTCGGTAAGTTTCTTATTTCCATTCTTTCATTTTTGTGGTTCCTTGATAATCACATTAATTTCCTATGGACGGACATGGCAACAATCAAAGGATGACTATGATTCCTTTAGGTTTAATTATCATGATTAGTTTAGTGTTTGCGTTTAGTAAAATATTTGACAAGTTTCTCTCAATTTCAACATTTCAATCCATGGCATCCTTTTTATCCTGGTTCACTTTTACTCGTGGGTATAACTGTGATTAGAATAAAAAACAAAAAAATTAATTAATCGAGTGAATTGTTTACAATTGAAATTAATGAATGAAACAAGGCTGAAAACAATTAACATTTTGAAAACTCGGAGAAAATGTGAGAGAAGAAGAGCTAAATTTTGATTATAAAGTGACTACATTAACTAGGCAAGTCAATGCGATTCACAATTTTTCCTTAATTATGGGATACAAAATTAACAATTGTTATTATAATTACATTAGACAAGCTATTGAAGTACAATGAGATTTTGGTAGAGAAATTGTAAGTTAAAAAAGAGAACTTTTATCTTTTTCTTGTAGCTTCTCTCTTTTGATTTATATTCATTGGTTACGGAAACCAGTTTAGGCCATAATAATTGCTGTTTACATGGTAAACTGACAATTATCATTATCATATATTACTGACAAAAGAGCTCATGATGATAAATATTCATTGAAGAGAGAGAAAGAGAAAGAAGGTAAGATGGAAAGGATTAATCAGGTAGATAATTGTTTATGATGAGGATAAGAAAAAGTAAATTAGATCATTGTTGTTGTAATTGTTGAAATTAAGATGGTCATATTAACGTGTGAGTGTAAATAGCGGAGCAGATTGCCTGAAATCAGCAAAAATCTTATGAGAAAGTGAGAGGATGATGATTATGGCGGAAAGAGGACAACAAGGTTAATAGAAGATTCAAAAGAGCTAAAAATTAACTGCTTTTCCCAAAACTAAAGGTCTAACGAAACTTTAACGTACAGACAACCAAAACTATTTAATCACTAAAGGTAAATGAATAAAGATGAGAGAGTAAGAATGAAAATGAGTACGATGATGATGATGAATATGATGAGGAGGTGTTGTATCAAGCATGCAAAAGGTGAACATGTTGTAACAAGAATGACACTAGAAAGGTTAATCTAGGTTAGTTGGAATAAATAAGTCTTTCTGTTCTCCTCTCTTTTGATTCCTGTTATCGTGATTTTCCATTTTTTTTATAAATCATCATGCAATTACTCCGGTTAACATTTCAATGTATCATTATTGTTTTTCCTGTTGCATTGGTTATTGTGCTGATTCGTTAAATGTTTAAGACAAATCAAAGATAAAGATTGCTTACACCAAGCAAATTTCGAGGAACATAACCCTCTTTGTCGTTTAATCGTGCCCACCACCAATCTTTTTCATCCTCATCTCCACGCCTTAGAATGGTAATGGCGTCTCCATTTTTAAAGGACAATTCATCTGAACTTTGAGCATCATAATCATAAACAGCGTAAACAATACCATCATTGATGAGACCAAAAGCATCTTGAATATCTGTAACATCCAAGATAATGGGAGGAAGATGATGAAAGAAAAGGAAATGTTCAAGATTAGTTTTATTTTGAGCAAGAAAAGGGCATTAAAATAGCTTACGTAAAAGATATTGTGAGCAACCATCAAAGCCTTCTTCGCCTTCTTCACATTTTTGAGCTGCTGTTTCTTTGTCAGGAAAAGTTGTCGCAAAAATGCAAGCTCCATGTTCAACCAAATATTTAACCATTGTCAAATTGTTGCAAGAAGCAGCACAATGTAAAGGAGTCCTGAAATAAAAACAAGCAGATTTACAATCAAGTTAAAGAAGAATAGAGTTTCAAGTTTATTAAATAAAATTACCAATTCAGCTTCAACTAGGAGATAAGCTGCAAAGTTTACCTGAAACTTTGCCATTTAATCATTTATAATATTGAGACAATCTCACGTCTTGTTTGCTAATAACTAAAATTAAGTATAGTAAAATTGATGTAATAAAAAAGATAACAGCAACATTTAAATTTGAATCTATCGGGAATTATTGACTGGGACGATAGAGAAACAGAGATTTGAAGGTCTCATCATGTTTAGATTTTGTTTGTTTGAATGTTCAGACAAGGTTTTATACCATGTTTAACTTGCAATAATAAGGATTGTGTTGATGGTTTATTTAACAATACAAAATGAATTTACTGACAGGGGAACTTTTTTCTAAGCTCATATAATGATTCTCATCTTGATATGTTGGCTTGTTGTTGATTTTTGCTGTTATTCAATTTCTTGGATTTCTTGGGCTCTCTGTTTTACAATTGGTAAGATCATTTACTATTAATAAATAAGCAAGCAAGAAAAACTTACCATCCATCACTGTCAGGAGCATTGACATCACATCCAATTTCAACTAAATATTTAACAATTTCAAAATGACCGGCACAAATTGTATTATGAAGTGCAGTTATACCCTCATCATTGGCAGCGCTTACATCTTGTATCTGTTGCAAACAAGAAGAAAAAATAAGAGCATGAGAAATTGAAAAGATCATCATTAGTTATCATTATCAACATTATAATTATTTTTTATCCTTTTCAATTCTGCTGAAAGGGGATTCACCATTTCATTGATTCCTATCATGAAACTTTTTTAATAATCACCAGTACTGACCAATGGAATTATTTTTATAAGTTAGCCTAAAAATGAGCGTCTCAAGGAAACATCTTTTCTTTTTCACTCACAACTGATCATTTATCAAAAAGCTGAAATAGATATTCTTTGATAAATGAAATAAATCATATATTAAAGTAAAATTGAATTAATTTTTTTTCTGTTACCGGAAAATATGTTTGATTGAAATGGTTATTGAGAGTTGAATGTTAGATGCATAAAGGGGAAAAATAAACATAATTTGCAAGTCAAAAAGATGTTAAAGATGGAACAGAACCAGCAAGAGGTAATGATATAAATTCATTTCACGAAAAATAACCCAAAAAGAGGTTTTTTCAATTCGTTGTTTGTGCTGGGCTACACAAAAACATGATGTAAATCTTGAAAATATAATTTAAATATGTTAACGTACTTTGGATGTTTTCTTGACCAGATCAAGTTCACCTTCTAACGCGGCATCCAATAAAAGAGCTAAAGGGTCAAAACTGACTCTTCTTGTGAGCCCTTCATGATCTTTTTGAGGTATTCTATCCTTTTTTAATGAACTTTTGGTTTTGAAGTTGTTAGCATTTGAGACGCTGTAACATTTATCCAGGTTTTTTTGGTTCTCGATGTTTCCGTCCTTGTCATGTTTACTGAGATTACCGTTGACTGATGGACTAAATCGGATCGCATCTGAACGTTTAGGTGAACCACCTTTAAGGTAAGAAAATGAATCTGATGGTGTACTTCGAATATCGTCCGTTGTTTTAGAAAGAATCCTTTTCTTTGCCCAAGTGACCTTTTTTCCTTCCTCTTGCTTCTCCGATTTAACAGTTTGCTTTGCATGATGTTGCTGGTGATGCTGTTGAGGTGGCCATTTAAAGTTGAGTGGCTTCCTCTCAGCTATTGAGATATCTAACTCTTTCTCTATCTTGTTATCAGCAACTACAGGTCTTCTTTTCATATTGTACCAATCTTTTTCTTGTTTGGTTTCTTTATCAGTAATAAGATTCTCATCACCTTTTGAAAAGGTTGACTCATCATTGAGAGACTCGACAGGTTTACTTTTAACATCCTCATCATTACTTTCAATATCTCCATCTTGATTGTGATTTTGAGGTTTACAATTATTGTTGTTGGCCTGCTTTATTGGTTGAAAGCAGCTACCAACACTATTATTATTACTACTAGTATTACTCTCCTTGCCAGTTGGAGGTAAGCGTTCACTTGAGTTTAAGCTTATTATCTCATCAACATTGTTGTTTTTGTTGTAAATCTTTTGTCCATTAACTGATGATTCTCTTGATGGTGGTTGATGGTGATAACCGTTCTTGCCGTAAGATATATAAAATGTCGATGGATCCGAACATGAAGATGACAATGATGATGATGAATGTTCTTGTTGTTGTGGCACTGAAGAAGTTGTTGTGTTATTGGAGGAGGAAAGAGATGAAGAATTGGCATCGTTGGCGAGATTTCGAGAGTGTACATCCGTACATGATTTGGTATAAGTTGAATAGATATTATTTGAAGATGATGGTGAATAGTCGTAAAAGCTCGTTGGAATCTGAGACTCATTATTGGGATAGCTATTTCTATATGAGTAAGGGGAAAAAAGAAGGAAAAATAAAAGTAATTAGGTTTAGTAATTGAAATGTGAAAAACAGGAAATATCAGTGATGCCAATGCGATTTTAAAAAGAGAGTAAAAATAAAGCGCTGAAAATCAATCTGAGAGATATCGAGATTCTATTGAAAGATAATTAATTTTTGGTAATAACAAATTGACAAACGCTTGTGTAAATTATTTTCCTGTTAATGTGTTATCCGGAAAAACAACAACAGGATTGAAGGTTAAAAAATTGTAAATCTATTACCAGAAGATGATATTGGGTAGGGTTACTGTTGATGGTAAATGAAAAGTTAAGGAAATCTGGTCAAGTTAGCCCATTTGATAAGGACAGGTTTCATACTGATGATCAAAGTTCATTTCAAGAAATATTTTGCTGCAAGGTTTACAGGTTTTAATCTACTAACCGGATATAACTACAATATTATGTTGATTGCCCAATTATTAAAAAAGCCAGTAGCTGCCAATTATCAGTTTTTTATGGTTAAGTAGTGTAAAATTAGTACAAGATCCTTCTTTGCTTGTTTTACTAACCAAACTAATGCATATGTACAAATGTACATTAAGATTTCAATTTAAATTATTGTATTCTACTTTAATTTTTTGCTGTACCATTTTAGGAAAATTATTTATGTTGATGATAGTTAATCAGACTTTAAGGTTTACTCTTTTTTTTGAATAAGCGGCATCACCGATCACTAATCATCAAGCTTAACCTGTTATAATCACCTTATGTAAGAGTTGTTTTGTTGGTGAAGATGAGGATGAGGATGATGTTGATGTTGATTTGGATGATGATGGTATTGATGCTGTTCACAAACTGGTTTATTTATCATCAAATCACTTCTATCAGTGCAATCATTGTGATGATGGTTATGATCTGTCACTGTGTTATCATTATTATAGTTTCCTCGGCAAGGACTACAGTTATTTGAGGTTAATCTATTTGACGAGGTTGATTTACAGGATTGAGGCTGTTGCATACGTAAATTGTTTTTCAACTGACTGTTGTTGCTGGTATTGATAATACTGTTGTTGCAATTGTAATTAGTACCGTTTTCATTGACCATATTAGCTTGAACTGATGATGAATTTGATCCAGAAGAAGTTATAGAAGGACCAGACAATGAGGATCGATCATCTTTGTCTAATGATGAAGTGTTTTGATCATTGTTACCATTTGGCAAATCTGAAATACACTTTTCAATCAATTCTGATTGTTGTTGATGTTGTTGCTGTAGTTGCAGTTGTTTTTGTTGATGTTGCTGGTAGAGATGTTGGTTAGCCAAGCGTGAATTTTTGCGAATAGAATCTATTAGCTGTTCATTTGAGGTTTTAATTATATCATCATATCCATTCGACTCGGAACAGTGGTGACTATTGTAGTAATCACAGTTACCCTCAATTTTATTATCAATACGAGTACCATAATGATTATGGTTACCAATATGTGATTTACTGTGGTTATTAACAGTGACACCGTTGTCTAAAGCTTTCTTTGATGCAGAATAACCAGTAGGAAGTTGGTCAGATGAGCTACTGCTACTTCCGGAGGGCGAAGGCCGTTCTCTCAAGTGTATCTTGTTTTTCAACGGACTAATAAAAGTTTCAGCTCCCACATCGGACTGTGGTTTGACAGGTTCACAAGTTCCGTTCCCATCAGAAGACTGTTCCGGTGATTCTGTGTGACTTATTATCTCACCAGTAAGAGACATATTTTTATGATTAGCAACCCTAATAACAGATTGAAATTGTTGTTGCTGTTGTTGTTGTTGATGATGATGCTGCTGCTGTTGCTGTAATTGATGTTGCCTTTGATAAAGTTGTGAGTTAAGGGCACAGTTGTTTTTATTATTAATGGCGTTTGTATTGGCGATATTCAAATTAGTGGAGGGCGGATATGGACTGGATGAATTAATTTCAACACTATTCCTGTAAGGTGAAGTTGCATACATATTATGTTGCTTGGACGGAGAGTGATCAGCAAGGTTATCGAGATTTTCTTCCGACTAGAAAAAGAAGAGATAAGGAAAATTAAAATACTGTAGTTTTCAATTTTTATGCTGAGTTTTACCTTATCATAAGCGTTGGGACCATAATTATTATTATTGGATGTTGTTGACCGTTGAAATGGTTCTACAGCAGCAACATTAGTATTAATATTATTACGATTATAGCTATTAGTTAAACGAATTGTGTTACATGGACCAACAGAACTTCTCAATCTTGGATTTCCAGAGTTAAGTGAATCGTTAGGAAGACCATATGCAACTCCAGTACGACTTTTCATCTGTGATGATAGTTGTTGGTTAAGCATTCTTTTCATAGCCAACCTTCTCTGAAGCTCAGCAATCCTCTCATCGATTCCGGCAATTTCACATTTCCGTTGCATTAACAAGTTTTGTTTTTGCATTAAGGTCACATTTTGTTGGTCATTCAATCGAGTTTGTGCCTAAAAGGTTAGAAGAAAAATTAGCTAGAAGCGAACTTATAAAATGTAATGAGACTAATAAGGTGTTCAAGTTGTAGTGAAAATGAAATTAAAGAGTAAAGTTATAAAAGGTGGTTGAGAGACATGAAAAATGGTATTCAATAAAAAGATGGAGTCACTAGGATACAAATTACAATGAAATAGATTGAGTAAACTAATGGTAGTTGTTAATTCTCGTGACAGCAATTTGACTTATGATGTTATGTTGCTAATATAATTATAATATTTTTAGTTTTCAGCATAACATCTAGTTGGCGTGATCAAATGTAACCCATTTAAATCAAACCTATTGACAAACTCAACACAAAAAAGGGTTCAATTGTGTAAACAATAGTAATTAGTTAATGTGAGGAAAGGCTAATGAACCAAGCTTATATTTTTTTACACTCAGATATTCCAGTAAATCACATTAAGGTCAAAACAAACAAAGAAATAGGATAGATAGTGTGAGATAAAGTATCCAATAAATCTGAAAATTGGTGGCACTAATAATTCCATAATCACAACGCTTGAACACAGGTACAGTTGAAATCTCACCGCAAGCTCTTGTCTTAATTTTTCCAAATCATCAAACTTATCATTGGATACTTTGTTGGTTGGATTGATATATCTATAGCTTGACCCATTGATACCACTTTTGAGTTCCTCTAACTGGCGAGTTAGAGCTTCAACTTTAGCAAGTGATTGATTTAATTCTTTCCTTTTCTCAATAAATAACACAATCATAGATTCCAATTCCATGTTGTAAGTTAAACAAGGTACACAATAAGATACATAAACATTAATACATTAAATTGTTTTCACTAGATTAAAGGAACCATTTGAATTGAAATTATTAACTTTAAGCACAAAATTCAAAATAGATGTTACCAATGCATACATGGAAAAAAGAGATACCAGCAAACAAGCAGATGACTAACTATTAACTAACCGGTTTGTGCAAGCAAAGAGCCAGGAGACGCCACCGTCAAATCTCTCTCTCTTTTCCTCTTTCTTTTTATTTAAAAAATTTTACCTTTTTTCTCTTTCTTTTCTCTTTCTTCTCATCTTCTTTTTTTTTATTTTTCCATATTACAGTCCTTTTTTATTCATTGACAGTTCAATAGTTTGACCTAATTGTTGATAAACGATAACCAAGAAGAAAGAGGAAAGGAGAGAGAAAAGGAAAGAGACGAAGAAAGAGAAAAGGTCAAAAATTTCCCTAAAAAGAAAAGGAGAGATTTGACTCTCTCAGTTATTTACCCAAACTAACCGGTTTACAGTATTACCTGTTAACCAGAAAGTGATGAACAAGAAACTGCAATTGATGAGTTTATTGGTGGACCCAAGCAGTCGCGACGCCTTAAGGTGGCATCTAACCCCTGTCACCTAGGCCTACCTGAGCCTTTAGACCTAGCCTTCAACTGCAAATCCAAGGTAATGGATGAGGGTTGTCCTGAGGGTTTAATCCCAGGTCAAACATTTATTACTCTTCAATCCAGTGTTGATTCACCAGTAGTAACTTAACAGCTTCGAACTGCCAACCTTGGTTTAACCAGAGTCAAGGTAACATCCAAGGTATAACCAATTGCGCCACCAAAAAATGCGAAGAGAAATTGGCTTCATTTTAAAAAGAAGAGCAGAGAACGATGCCTTTCAAAAGAGATTACAAATTATGTTTTTCTTTCTTTGCTCTCCTGCAAATAACATCTTCATAACTGAAAAAAAAGAAAAACTAATCTTACCTTTTAAGTTATTTTGCCATCAACACTGTAAATAACTCAACCAATAAATATCTTAGCAATTAATCTTTAGCCAGGTTCCTCATCGACTTCATCTAAAATACAGCATCTTTATGGAGTCACTCTTCAGAGTAGCCAAATAAGCGCGTTCTGTTGAGTATTTATAACCTTCTTTTCGTAACTAAAGGAAATAAAATTTAAATTCCCTAAAAATTAATGACAGCGAGATATCCATTGCAGTTAACAAGGTTTAAACGTTAATTATCTTGCCAAATTTACTGATTAATATTTTCCATAATAACAACATTCAAATTGTTAAAAAATCCCGCAAAGAACCGAATCTAGCTCCATCTAGATTTTGTAATAACAATCTCTGCACCCGATTATTTTGTAAAAAACTAAATTTTTAAATTGCTTAACATTTTAATGAAAATTTATTGATTTTATACAAAAATAATAACATATTTCTTATACAATCCATGTGTCTATCAAGATTGAGATTCATTTCCAAACTCACAATCAGAAGGTTGAAATAAATTAGACAAATATCAGTGCTGATGAATGGCTACAATTTTAGATGAAAATTACTTTAAAAACAACTTGTCAATTAATCAGATTGAATATAACCATTATTCAGTTGAACATTTTAAGGAATAACAATTGAGAATAAAATCTACTTGAAAATAGGCAACTTAACCTACAGTCATAACAATTGAATGATGAACAAAAAGTGTAAATCATTTTTCCAAATATTAAAAAGTTTACCAATTGAACTACATTTTCACATTAGATTAAGAATTGTCAGCTACAGTCAGTACTTTTATTAAGACAAATCACTTTTATAAGCCCATTGTTGATAACACCTGATAAGTTGATGATGATGATAATAAACATTTTATGTTATTATTTTGGCTTGGTGGTGGTTAAGCTTTTTTCATGATATTAAATAAAAAAGGTGCGATGAAGGATTACAAAGGGAAAGATGGGAAAAAGGACCTTTTTTATAACTTGAAAAGAGTGATTCAATTTGGTGAGTGGAAAAATTGAAATCAATTGAACTCCATTTTTGATGAAACTCGATTCAATTTTCATCCTACAAATAATCACTTAATGTTGTATTAAATACTGTTGTTTTTACTATAATAAGATAATAATACTTAATATCGTGCCTTAAGATGAGAAGTCAAATTATATGGACGCAACAATAGAAGGTGTGCTGATTGTGTTGATCAACCTACGATTTGAACGATTTTATTGATTAACAATTTGCAAAAACATTTTTAACTTTGATTTTTGTTTTCTTTATCATTTGCTATTCAACTTTGACGCCACCAAAATATCTTCAGGTCAGTTGATTGATCTGAAATTAGGTCTATTGAGCGAGTTATTGTCAGATTGTTTCATTTTACCTTGTATTTAATTTCAATACATCTGAGATAAGTATATTACTTTAAAATGTATTTACTTGAAATTAGAGTTGATTAAATTTTGAACTTAAATGTACGCAACTAAATTGCGATTGAAACAGCAAAAGAAAAGTAAAAAATCTTTGAATGACAGTGATTGTACATAACAATAAGTAAATTTATTCACTTACAATGCATAAGTCAATTGAGATCTTTATAAATATTAGATGGCAGTGGATGATTTCAAATAAATAAATGAAATTTTAGGTATTGAAAGAAATTGATCCATTTGGAATTGTTGGACAACAATTAGAAAGACTCAATGGATTTGCATTTGACAACATTGACTGTTTTGATATGCTTCAGACGCTTTTCCATATTTCCCTTGAATGAAACATTGGCAGTGGGCAGAGATTATGAAAGAGTGAAGTTGATATCTAAAACTCGGAGAGAGTAAGCATTATCATCATGATCGCCATCAGCATAACCATCATTATTATTTCTAATAGTGTTTGTTTTTTGTCGTAAAATTTCCTCGGGAATGTCAAGCTCAGGATATAATAATGGAGGTATTAATGGTGGTGTAAAACAAGAAGCTTCAATTTCATCTTCATTAATATTTTCATCGTCATCACTGAATAATTGCTCAAAATTGTTAATATTTCTAGGTTCATTAACAATTTTACAATTTTCTTGTTTACTTGCATTCATTACATCAGTAACATTTTTACTATTACTATTGCTGTAACTATAACTGAAATTAAAAATTTTAAAATTAGAGGTACTCTTAATGTTTATGTTGTTTGCGATATTGCTCAGATTATTGTTATTGTTAAGATTTCCTAGTATATTTACTTGCCTCATTTTAAAAGCTGGTGTTAATGATTTAACTTCTTCTACTTTAAAACTATTATTCTTACTATTGTTATTATTATTATTACTGTTAATATAATCATGCAAGGGTAAAAAGCTTCCTTTAGTTGCATTTGTATTGCCCCCGACAGCTTTGACAGTAGAACAAGGAGTTAATGTGATTGTTGTTGATGGCATTGATGGTGGTGTTAAACTTGGATAGTTTGGATAATTTGGATATTGGATAAAATCACCGCAATCATTATCATCAATAGGAGTTGCGGTTTCATCATTGTCTTGGCCAATATCACTCCATTTGGGAAGAGATTTAATTACACTAAACAAATCTTTAAAATTTTCCTTTTGTTTAAGATGACTTTGATGTGTTGCAGAGTTGATATGCTATAAGAATAAATAAGGATAAATATTGGAAATAAAATTAGTAAAAATTTACATAAAAATTATCCATAAATAAATTAACAAATATCAAGTGTACTTACTTCTTGAATACTTTTAAATGTTATTCCACAAATTTCACAGTATTGTAATGCATTCTGTTTTCTTAATGGTGTAGGTCGATTCATTTCTCTAAAATCATTTGTTGCATTTGTACTAGCTTTTGGTGTCTGTATACCCAATCCTTCGAAAGTTTTTGTATTCATTGTATAATTACCACGCATATCAGGAGTAACAGGTATTTTACTAGAAATTGTATTGGCAGTAGCAGTATGCTTTGGTTGATGTTGATGTTGATTGTTGATGTGATTATTATTATTGTTATTATTATTATTATTATTATTATTTTCATTGCCAGTCATCCCTCCTGTTTCTACCGTATTAGCAACATTTACATCATTATTTTCTGAATACTTTTTCACTTTGGATGGCGGTAAAAATGGACACATGAATGGATCAGCATCAAAATAAATTTTTGGCCATTCCTTAAATTCTTTTGCTGATGGTCGATATCTTTGCTCGACATCTTCAAGTTTTATGAAAGCTCCTTTAAATTGTCTTACAGTTGCTCTAGGAATTCGAGGAGATGCTTTGGGTGTATCACAGCTTGGATTTTCTAATTGACGAAGTTGTATTGAACAAAAATCTAATACAGCTTGAGCTTCCAATATTTTTATGCCACGACGATATGCAATTTCAATAGGATCAGTGATTGCTTTTGATGATTGTTGATTTATGCAATTAATTGATGGTTGTGCACTTGCTCTAAGAGCCAATTGTCTACCTCGAGGCTAGAAGAAGAACAAAGAAGAAGATAAAAAAATCAAAAATGGAGATTATTTGAAAAAACAATGGAAATTCAGAGCATTTCAAAAGAATGATAGATCTGATAGATGCGCGCCTAAACAGAAACTAATGCACAAAAAGAGAAGAAAAAACTCTAATAATGCAAAAAAAATTAAATTGCAATTAAGAAACAATTTATAAATAGTAAAACTAAACTAAAATAAAATGAAAACAAAAGTAAAGAACAAGATCAAAATGTATTAAAGTGGCGCATAATTGAGGCGCTGGCGCGAACGAGATGAAAAATGAAAATTTGGCGGAATTGACCAATTTTTAGTGTACTTACCAATAAATCGGAAACTCTATTGCTAGGTGTTTCTGGTGTTTGAGATGGCTCATGATTGTTTAAATTTTTATCCTTTACAGGCCAATCTTTAGGATTTCGATCAGTTATTAAATATTTGACTCTGCTATCAAGAAACTCACCAACAGTCTGTCAAGGGAAAAAGAGAGGGAACAGATGATTATAAACAAACCCAATTTAATAAAAATATATTAAACTTACCCCTCCTAATCGTGTAATATAATTTTTCAATTTATTGCGGTTTTGAGATGTTTTAATATCAAAGTAGAAGACACGTTTTTTTAAACAAAGTTTATCAACATGATCACCTTTAGACATTTCCACTAATTGATTAATCAATTTCACATGGACAAAGAAGGAACCGAATAGTGAATGAAGAAGAGAGGGAAGAGCCTACTAATTCAGCC